TTTCTAATAACTAGCATTAAATTTAGCATGCATACTCGCACAACACTTTGCTCTGCTTTTCACTCACTCACTATACCAGTTCAAAAGGCTTTGTTCTTTTGAGCCTTCTCTCTAGGTTCGTATTATCGAGGAACTGGATAGCCTCGACGTTTACATGATGGAGACGTTGTTCATGGCTCCCTGCAAATTTCTTGATTATCTGATTGACGTCTTCCATCTTGAGGTCCCGGTAAAGATTGTTGTTCCTAACGTACCAAGGCGCATTTACGATGTTTCTCAGCACTTTATTCTGGAATACCTGGATTACTTTGATGTTACTAGGTTTGGCACAGCCCCAGAGTTGGCAGCCATAGGTCCATACTGGCCTCAGTATTTGTTTATAGATTAGGAGTTTATTATTTACAGATAGAGAGGAATGCAAAATAAGATAACAAATCAATTCAGAAAAAGTCACAAGGTCTAATGGTTTTAAGTTATCTAATGCATGCAGGTAATGTAACACTAAACACAATACAAAAGCTGAAGTCGAAAGTATTACAAAGTTGGATCAGAATTATCACTTTTGAAGAGGAAAACTGATAGATTAAAAATTTGGAGATTCTTTGAAGAGTTAGCTAATAGAAGAGTTCTGGGTCTGAGTAATAAAACCATCAACGAATTGAAACAATAATTACATATCAGGCATGATATCAACAGAACTAAGAAAACACAAATAGAGAGGAATAACACCAGCTTTCAGAACAAACAATTACTTAAGCAAATATATTAAGTACCAGAGCCAACATAAAAAACATTTATACAGTGGAGTATAACAAACTTAATCAAAAACCCAACATACAAACTTATACCTCTGTTAAACCGGTAAAACCTTCAACAAATGTATACCAGAACACAAAAGAGCTTTCAACAACAAAAAACACGAGTCTACTTCACCTTTTATATCATAACAACATACAACTTATTTAGACAATACAAATGTCACCAATTTCCAAAAAATGTAAAATAAAAACAAAACAAACACCTAACCCTCAATTTTAGTACCGAAATGTCAAGAATGACATTTCTCTCAACATGTTGGATGGATGTAGCGATACTTTTTTACGCTACCAAATTTGACAGGCCGCTCCGGAAGTAGCGCCGCGGTAGCGGTTGCATTTTGCAGACTTTTACTCAACAGTTGTGGAGCAGCTCCGTCTGCTGAACGCGCCCAGTGACTCAGGTACCTTTTACCTCTCAACACATAAAACTGTGTATTGAAATATACCATTTAGAGAACTTTTCTGAGGTCCCTTTTTACACTAAGGCCCATATTTATAAACGATGCTCAAGTATGGATCGATACTTGAGATCGACCTTGAATCAAATTTGTGTTCTATAAACCGTTCTCAAGCACGAAGTCGAGCTTGAGAACGCAAAAATGACAGCTCGTACTCAAGCATCCGATCGACCTGCCTTGAGCACGGGATCCTAACCTAACTTGTTTGTTTATATTTATGAATATTTCCAATACAATATTTTCTTTGTTTTTTGAGATTAATATTGTCGTTCAACATCCAGGATAAAGTATTGGTAGCTTATTATTTGATCAAAGTTGATTAAAAGTTAGAATGGAAAGAGGGCAAATTCCAGAATTATTATGAATAGTGAATATGTATGCAGTGCAGACACAATCTACTTATTACTCCAGTATTATAGCCAGGTTTTTATTGATAATTGGCCAAATAAAAAATAGATTATTTGATAAATACATCTTTTTAGGCAATGATTAACAAAATAGATATAATAATAGTACACATGTAATATGTAAATGGATATTTGGAACCTGGAAAATATGGTTTCCCTGTCTGCAATGAGGCCTACAAACCAAATTAAATACATATCTTGCATAATAAGTGCTACAGCAGTACTTTGCAATATATGTTTACAGGAAAATAATGATAGTGATGATGATTTTCTAGAAAGTAGTAAATAGAAACTTTAATGATGTGGAATGAGGTTTAAATTTTAGGAGACATTTTATTCACCAATGTTATGCATGGAAATGTAAATACAATATTGAATACTTATATTATGTATGTTCTACCTTATTTCTCAAAATGTCAGAATGATTATCATTACTTGATTACGCTTTTTGTTGTTTTTTTTTATTTTATATTTTATCTTTGTTTAATTCAAAGTTGTTGATTTTGAGAATTAAATACCTATATTATATTAGATATAGTATGTTTTTGTCTTATTTATAAAAATGTGTTTGTTTTAATTTTAAAATAAATGAGGGTTTTCCCTCACTATGCTCAGACAACTCAAGTAAGTATGTCTTCTCTAAGTACAAGTAGTTTCCCTCATTTTAATTAAGTGTTTATTCCTTTCATAAAACCTTTCCTTACCAAATAAAAATTAATACAAATTTAGAATATTAATATTCTTTATTTAAAAAATTATAGTTATAATTAAATACAATGTAAAATAGATTATTTTATTTTATAGCTTTATCAGGAGTAAACTGTACAACAATTATATATATATATATATATATATATATATATATATATATATATATATATATATATATATATTCAATGGTTGAATATCAGAGGTTTTATCAGTCAATAATTAGCAAATAAAAGTCGTCAACTACTTTATTGATTTATTTGAATACGTTTCGCTTCTATTTTTAAAAGCATCATCAGTTCACTACAAATAAAAAAGATTTTAGCATATAAGTAAACAACCACCAGGGTTCATATTTACAAAAACAATTTGTAGATTTTTTAAAGGATGTTATAAAAACTCTATAATAACTTAACATTAAAGATTACAAATTAAACAAGATAAACGAGACAAAAAATACAAGAAAAACAGTAAGAATACTATTGTTCATTTAATTTTAACCGATGGCTTCATTTGAATGCTAGTTTAAGCTCTTTCGAGGATGAAATATATATATATATATATATATATATATATATATATATATATATATATATATATATATATATATATATATATATATATATATATATATATATATATATATATATATATATATATATCGAAGTAGCAGCAATTTATTAAAAATTTTTAATAATTTTCTGTAAACAACATAAAAATATTATGAACTATGTATTGCAATCAATACTTAAAAAAACTGAAAAAGAAACATACATAATCAAAAAACAAAAGACTATACAACAAATAAAAAGGTAAAACCATATCTTACCAGCAGAAATTAAAATATTAACAATCTTAAATCTACATTAAATACTATCTAGAAATAAAATAAACAGGAACGAGAATAGAAAGAAAATAAACATGATTTTACAACACAAAGTATATTTTTTCGTCTTTATAAGGGGGGAGGGTCTGAAATCTTAAGACATCTCAGTCCAGGATGCCGCCTGACTGACCTTAGTGCAGGATTCATTCTTCGTAGTTCCGGCGATAGTTCCCGAGGTACTTTAAAACATCCTCTCTTCGCTGATTCTATGTCAAATGCCTACCTGCTAAAACAGACCCTACTCTGACATTCAAGTGCTCCTAAAGTGAAAAGGCCACTGAAAGACCGAGTTAACACTTCCCAAACACTATCTTCAGTTGGGAATAAGCCACAATGTTTTGTATGTTATAGTTACTGATGTTTTAATCTCTATGACCAGATATTGTTACCAAAAATACAAAATTGTGATTTATTTTCAGAATATAAATCACAATTTTGTATCTATGATAACAGCCTCTGGTCATATAGATTGAAAAATATCAATAAATAAACATATTATGGCTTATTTCTACATTTTCCCTAAAACTGCAGAGTATCCAACAAAGGAAAAAGATCTTCTAGCGCCTGAAAATAAACAATTAATTATAGACAAATTCCAGTGACAAGTCAAACATGATAAAATCTATAATTACCCTTTTTATAGTCTATTAACTTCAATGAAGCTAATTCAGCTTCATCAATAGCTCTCTGCCTCTCCTTCTCAGCTGCTTCTCTTAAGGCTTTTGCTTTCAGCATATCTTCTTCTAAAATCTTCATTTTCATCCTATGAATCTCGTCTTGCTGCCTGATGGTATAATCAGGCAGCAATATGTTGACCTCAGGTTGGCAGTTATAATTTGTTGCTATGAACTCCCAAGCCATATTTTTCTCCATTGCTGAAGTGGAAAACAGTTTGTCCTTTTGTTCTCTACCACAGCGTTTTCTGTTACCAGCTGAATTAGGAGAACTTTTTCCTTTGTTGAGTAAGGTGCATATTTACTGCTATTTCCACTCATCTAAAATTTACATAACCAATTTATTTAGTGTACGGCTTACACATGCAATATAATTATAATGATTGTAACGCATTACATACATATAAATATATCCAAAAACAAATATACATAAGCATATATTTTGAACATCAAAAATTATGCCTCAGACACAGTAACAAAATAGAAATTAATTCTTTAGAATAAATATTTTTTATAACATATTACATACCTTAAAATAGTTAATATCCAGTATTAATTTCAAACACAAAATATTAATATCAAACACAAAATTTCAGTAAGTAGCATAAACTAAATTTGGCGCTAAAAGTTTAGTCACAATTATAAGAAAATTGACAGAATCTTCTTTTTTTCGATGTTTATTCGTAATTTACTTTTACCGTACTAATTTTTTCTTGCTTGAGATCAAACTTGTACGAGAATATCCGAAGTATCGTTTATAGAACATAACAAATACTTGAGCATGACTTTGACGTAAGTTCGACTTGGCCAAGCACGTTCTCGAGCACGATCTTGAGTACCGACTATAAATACGGGGCTAAGACATGTGTCTACCTTTAAGGAAATAAAATCCGCTAAAAAGTCAAAATGCCTGATTTTTGACTGAGGTACCTTTTTCAACTCACCGATTCAATTATCTTGATAGTGGATGAATACTCGCTAGTTCGCTGTCATTTGTAATATTGACATTTCACGTTTGACATTTTACTGAATAAGTTTTTACAGTGAGAGAAGAAACAGATTGAAAATAAACAAATATAAAAAAATAAGGAGTACAAAACTAAATGGCAAATATTACAATAGAAAAAACAAAATATGAATGTGCTCCAGTCTCAAAACGTTGCCAGAGAGATGATGTTTTACGTAAAACAGGTCTGACTGTTGGAAAGGTAGATTTATATTATGGAAGAGGTGTCCGTAATGATGGATCTCTTGTACCCCCGATTAGACAAACTGCCAGTATTTTTAAACAACCCGTAACTGTCTATAAACTACAAGAGAGTAAAGTAAAAAATGATTATAAAAACGGGAATCAAGAGAAACCAAAGCAACTAATTTGGGAGAAAAGACTGGAAGGTTTAAGGGCTTGTGATATGGATGGTTTTGAGTTCGAAGCTATGGAACTGCCAAAAGGTTAGTGAAACTGGAATGCAGTTAATATTCACAGTCAAGTTATTAATATATTTGAGACAACTTACACTTTTTTATATTTCTCGTCAATACAAATGCCTTTCTTTTCTTGTTCTATTGTAATAGGTTAATGCAGTGCTTGTTCATCAATAGTTGATATTAGTTTCCTTAGTATGTGAGCTATTGTTGATATTTTCATTTTGTACTTATAATTTCTCTAATATTTTGTACTAATAAGTATCTCCTTTTTAACAATGACTTTAAATTATTGCTAATGATTCTGTTAAACAAAAATATTCTGCAAGAGTTGTACTCTTCTATAGTTAACTTCTGATTATTGAAGGTCTTTTTGTGAATTACCTCCCAAGAAAATATTTTGTAGGTACAATTTATTTATATTTTGTGTAAATAAAGTAAATGAATTACTGCTTTCTTGAATTTTTTTTCAATAATTGTCAGTACCATGATGATTCTTACAAATACAATCTGATCATAAATGACCAATAAGCAATTTCAATTTAACCTAAATTACAACAGTTCCTTCAAATTAAGAGCTTACCCTATAGTAGCTCTTACCTAAACTAAGAATATAGTGTACTATTCTAACATGCACAGAAGCACTATGCTCTGCTTTTCAGTATCACTCAAACTAGTTCAAAAGGCTTTGTTCTCTTCATTAGTCTAGGTTGTCCAGTAGTATAGATGAGCTGGTTTGCCTGTATATGCTTGTGCCTATGAAGTCATTGCTTGTGTCCTGCCATCTTTCCTAGGTCCTTATAGAAGTCACTGTTTGCCAAGTACCAAGGAGCATGTACAATGTTTCTCAGTATTTTGTTCTGGAATATTTGTATTATGGTTATATTGCTTGGTCTAGCACACCTCCAGAGAGAGCATCCGTAGGTCCATACAGGTCCCAATTTTTGTTGTAAAGTAGTAACTTATTATGGATCTATAGAGTGGAGTTTCGTTTAACTAGCCAATACACTTTTTTATACTTTATATTTATTTCTTCCCTCTTTTTCTTGACATGAGACTTCCATCATAGTTTAGCATCTAATAATATACCTCAATACTTAGCAGGATTTAGCTTCATTCAGCCCAATTCTCCATTTGTTTGTTCCTTTATGGATTTGGTTAACTGCTATTTGGACCTTGATCACTTCACTAGTTGTCCCTACTGCGTGGATAGCCTCCTATCAGTCAGGCCCAGTATCATCCTTAAATTCTTTTGGGGCTTCTGTTCTCTCTTTGTCTTCAAAAAGTTGTGCTATATATTGTGTCCATCTCTGCATTTTTTGGTTTATATCTGTTATAAGTGCACCCCTTTCATCTCTTAGTTGCCTAGTTTGAAGTGTTTTTCTCATTCCTGTTAATTCTCTAATTCTTTTATGCATGTTAAAAAGTCATATTTTTTCTCAATTTCTTCTAGTTTTTGGCACTGCTCATGTAACATTCTCTCCTTAGCTTCTTTTATTCTCTTTTTTATTAATCGATCAGTTTCATTATATTTAATTCATTCATTTTAATTCATTCATTAATAGTAGTATTTCTTCAGTCATCCAATCTTTATGTTTTCTATTCTTTGGTTTTAAGTTTTCATTTGCTGTTTTAATTATTGCCACTTTTATATTTTCACATTTCTGATCAATGTTATAGCTACTTTTATTCAGTTCTTGGGCATTACGTAGATTTTCAGTAAGAGTTTGTACAGTTTGTTCCTTTGTTTGTGGTTCCCTTAATCTCTTAATATCAATTCTACTTTGTGTGGGTTTTTTAACCAGTTTTAATTTGGTTCGTAATGTGACTACTATGGGGTTATGGTCTGAACCGATGTCTGCTCCAGGGTAAGTTTTGACAGACAGTATAGAATTACGAAATCTTTGTCTAATAAGGACAAAGTCAATTTGATTTCGGATTATTCTATTCCTTGTATTACCGGGAGATTTCCATGTATACAATCTTCTTTTTGGTAGCTTAAAAAGTGTATTAGCTATTACAAATTCTTCCGTCTGGCAAAATTGTATCAAACGGTCACCACATTCATTTCTATTTCCTAGACCATATTCCCCCACATAACGCCCATTACTATTTTAGTGTGATGTTTCTTCATTGATTTTAAGACTTGTTCCAAATCATGGTAAAACAGTTCGATATCGTCATCTTTATCTGCCGTAGGAGCATAAACTTGAATAAAATTTACTATACCTTTTTTAGACTGTAGTTATATTGATAAGATCCTATCAGAATAAGGAGTAAAACTTACCACAGAGTAATTGACCTTTTTTGCAACTAAGATAGCAACACCATAGCGATGATTGACCTCATTGTTACCTGAATAATACATGGTTCCATTATTTGTAATTTGTTTGCCTGAACCTGGCCACTGTACGTCACTTATACCTAAAACATCAATCTGGAGGTTTTCCATTTCAAGCAGTACGTTCACTAATTTACCACTTGCATATATTTATTATTATTTATTCATTCCAACGGTAGAACGATTTACAATAAAATACAAAAAATAGTAAAAAGTAAAGATCAAGTACAATAAACATCAAAACAATAACAAAGAAACAAGTAAACAGTTAAAATTTGTACATTAAAACAATATATCATATCACAAAAATTTTAAAAAAGTATCAGTATCACATAGTAAGTATCACATATCTAGATTAATAGTCAGATTCTTAAGTTGCCTTTTAAAAGCATTAATGTTTATGCAGAAAGGATCCAATAGGAGGTCATTGCAAGAGCTGAGCATTCTTGACAGGGGAAAATGATGAGCATAATCAGTCCTATGAAAAGGAATATGAAATTATAATATAAATATAAACTTCTGACATTCCAGGTTGCTATTTTCAATGTCTTAAGTCCACAGGGATTTCTCTGGTTTACGACCTGGTGTGATCTACAGTTATTCCTCCCCTGCCGGATCTTGGATTCCGTGCTCCATAATCAGTAAGTTTGTTTACTCTACTTGTCATTTGCCATTCATGACTTTACTAGGGGTACTCTAAGAGTCTTTAATGCAGTGGTTCCCCGTTGCCTTCTGCATCCTTACGCCATGGACATATTTTTCGATTCATCCGCCTTTAGGACCAGTTTCCCTACCCTTGGACAAAAGAGTGCCCTTCCACTTATTAACTCATCCGCCCGCAGCCGTTGGTCATAAGTGGGGGATTGCTTATACCGGCAATCATTCGGTGAATTACCTGTTGGTCCACGGGAGGTATTTTATTTCCCTCCTACCCACCGGTAAACCGGATCGGGCATTCCCCTATACACCACCTGGGGACGCGCTCTTTAGAGGTTACAGGTTCCTCCGAGAGGAAGGAGGCATATTATCATCAAAGGTAGTAACTGTGTTGTCTTGCACTACAGGTAGGTATATCATACATGTATAGTATATCATATATGTATATAGGACCATCCCAACAAACTGGAACACCTGCTCTAGTTTTGTTTAAATCTGAAAAACAGTCATCCTCCTTGATTCTAAAATGCCATTCATTTATGTATAACACTAAAAGTTGTGACTACTGTTTGGAAAAAAGTTTTTAATTTATGTATTATACCTTCCTGTTAGATTTGTGATTCTGTGCACCTGGTTGATTGTTGGAATCAGATTTCTTGCTTCAATAACTGGTTTAATTCTCTTGAGAATTATCTCAAAATATTACAGGTCTGTGTATATTATTTGTCTATACTGTCTGTCTTTATGATAAAACCACATGTACCAGTTTACCTGGTTTAGCAATCAATTCAACACTTTCCGATTTAAATTATAACCTGGAGCTTTCTTTGGGTTAATATTTTCCTTTATTTTTGCAAGCACTTTTTTTGGGTAGTTAGTAGAATTTCTTCCTCTATAATTGAACAGGTTCCTCCCATCTTTCTTTATCCTCTTGACATGAATTTAGTGTGAATGTATTTTCAAGGTATGTAGCAAATAGTTCTCCTTTTTGTGCACTACTTCTGGCCCAGTTTCAATTTTCTAATTTAATAGGCAGAGAGTGGATAATAGATCTTTTTAGTCTTTTAGTAGCTTTCCATAAGGAATAATTAAGTAGTACTACTGTCATATTTCAACTCCTGTAAGTATAAATTTTGAATCATTTAGTTTGGTATTATCATAACGATACAGTTTGTTGCCAAATTCTTCAGTTTTCTTTTCGCAATTATTATGTTCTTTACTTTCTTTTTCGTGTAACCTAGGTGTCAGTAGAAGAGTGTTTTCCCAAGCTGCTTGATGAATATTGTTCACCAACAATTCTGCTTCTTTATCTAGTTACTCTGCCCTTCATAATGGAACCCTTAGATTTATTTTCTCTTCAAGGCTCAGCTTAAAACTTGTCAACCTGTCAAGTTGTTTGTTAATGTGGGGTTACTTTCTTTTTTAATAATCTTGTCCCTCATGGTTAGTACTATGGGTGAATGATCAGATTTAAATCTCAATAGTCGTCTATATAAGAAATTAGCTGAAATATTCTTTATAATAAAGAACTTTATTAGACTAGGAGTCATGTTTCTGTCTGTGGGCAAATGTTGATCTACCAGTCGATAGTGATTTACATCTATGTTCTTTAATTGCTAATAACAGGTCTTTAGCTTTAGTGGTAATTATTCTAGAGCCCTATTGTGTGTTCTTCCCATTAAAGGCTCCTCCAATAATAAACCTTGTCCCTAGGCTCTCCAGGAATTCAGTATACTGTTCTTTTTTAATGGAGTGTTTATGTAAGCAATAGATGGAACTGACATTTTTTCAAAATTTTTATTTTCCTTTCTTGAATGATTAAATATGATGTAAAGGGCTACAGAAAAAGATAAGTTAAGGTTCATATGCTAAACAATAAATAAAAATGTTATATGGTTCATTGCATCACTCTTATTCAGACAACCATTTGCAACAGTTTTCAAGGTATCAAAATAGTAAGTAGTGATTTTATAAACATGAACAAAGTTTTTTGATCTTTAAATAATTGTGTCAATTCTTTTCATAACTA